GGGGGAGTGCAGGGTAGAGGGGGTCAATGGGGGAAAAAGGAGACATCTGCAATTCTTTCAACAATAAATATAAATTAAAAAAAAGAAAAAAGAATTCGTACCTCGTAAGAGCTGTTCCTGTTTTACCACAAGCCCCTGGTATTTTTTAAAGGTTTTTTCATACTCTTTTCTCAAGGTTTGGTTTTCAGGGTCTTCATCAAGTAAACAAGCTAAGGATCTTCCATATTCACTGAAGCAAAGAAACCCTACTGGAAAATACTATGAAGAATAGCGCTATTAAACTGTATGTGCAACATTATCCAGTTATTTACTCTAACAGTTTAACTAAAACGGTATTCTCTGCACAATAGTTGTGTTAATTGTGTCATAACAGGACTTCTTAACCAAGGGTTCAAGGATGTGCTTCGAGTCCTTGGGTAAACACATGTTTGGGCTTCAACAAGTACTTGAATCCCCAGAAATCACATGCTAGTATTTTATGTATGTGCACAAGTCTCTAACTTTCAACAGATTGGCAAGTGGGTCCATGTACCAAAATGATTACTGCCTTAGAGAGTGATTTAGTTAACAGACTACTGAATTCCACTTCACACAGATGCCCAGAATAGTCAAAGGACGTGGACTAGGTTTAAAGCCTTTTAGCACCCTCTTCAGAGCAGATGCGAAAAAAGAAATATGCCAAAGTTAGAGGTAAACAAAATTTTAAAATTACATCTTATTGCCCCAAACAGTCTCCTGGACATCTGCAGAAAATAACCAGTTATCTCAGTCTGACTTAAAATCCCCAAGCTCTAAAAACAACTCCCCTATTGAATGCTACTTGCATTAAAACACAAAGAAACTTAAAACTTAATAAAATAGCAATATTTTAAGATAAATGGCCAGAATTCTGATAGTTCATTTTATATTCCTTCAATTACTGTAATCCAGGGATTCTAAGACACATTTTCCCACATCATAACATCTCCAGAATTTGGATGTGTCTTATAATCCACAATGTGCCAGAGTTTAATTGGAAGCATTTTTTTCATTAGTGGTTCATAAATAATGGTACATATAACAACCAATGGTATCTGACAATTATAGGAATATGATATGTCCGAAAGTATCAGGAACCAAACAATAACAATGTATAACTTAATGGTTCCTTAAAGTCTCATTAGCGGTCCTCTATGCACCCCTCCAGTTTAAATGAATTTTAGGTACATTCAGGAGACTTGGGACTCCAGAAAGAATCTAAAATCTCCAGGATTTTGAGTTATCCATGTGGTTTAAGGTAATGTCAGAAGATTATAGCATATTCAGGAAATTTCTAAACCTTGAAAGATCCTAATTAAGTAAAGTGAAAGCTTATGTATGTGTGAGGTGTGAGGGTGCATTTTTATAGTGTCTTGGGGATTCCATGATGGGGAGGGAAAGAAACATATGACACTTTGAATAATAGGAATAATATTTTAACTTTTTAAAAGAGATCAATACATTTGGGGATAAAAGGAAAGTTATCAGTATGGGTTGGTTGTTGATCTGCAAAAGATGTCATATAAGGATAGGCATGAATAAACCAGGACCTCAATCTAGAAGAATTAGTTGTAGAGGCAATATGATAAATATCTTCAAATATAATACATGTGATGAAGAAAATATCCTATTCTATATTGCTTTAGTATGCAAGATTAGAACCCAGGGATAGAAGTTCTTGAGGAGTAGACTTTGGTACACTAAGCAAAGAACACTATAATAAATAGAATACCACATCACAGAAAGAGCTAAATGAATAAGCAGTGACATTGTTAAGGAAGAGACTAAATAACCCATTTGTAAGGGAAGTTGCAGAAATGATTCCTCTATTGAAAGACAGGTTAAAAATACATAATCTTTAAGATTCTTTTCATAGTTCTATCATTTTGTAGTCCTCTCAAATTTGTATGTACTAAGAAAAGTATTATTGTGATTAGAAACACAGAGTTTAAAACAAGGTTCATCACCAAATTCACATCCATTCCAATCAAAATCACCTATTACAGAGAAGGAACTACATAGGAAACAGTAATGAGCGAGACTTGAGCTAACCAAAGGATCTTAGGGCACATAAGTGTAGCTACTTAGAGATTCACCAATTCAATATCCAGGACCACTAATTTTTACTCCCTCTATCTTATCGACTAACCAAAGTTGAAACGAGATAAAAAAAAGTATATGTCAAATTATATTCATTCTGACAGTTTCAATCTTCACCTAACCTTTAAAACACTCTTGCATTTTTCATGTACTGTGAATGCAAAAAAAGAAAAAAAAATCCCAACTATCCAAACCTCATAGCAACAGGCAACAACAGTGGGGTGAAATACCACTCTAAAAGGATATCAGCTTTCTTCTTCTTAGAAAGTTCTTCTTGCCAAAGCTCATGTCTTTTTAATTCATGATCAATGATATTCATACACAAAGCTCCAATTTTATAGTGAGTGATAAGTCCATGAAACTGAGAAAAGCTTTAAAGAAGAGATTTTAGTATGTATTTAATGGAATACATTTTGTGGGTTCAGGAAATTTGTTTAGGGTAAACACTAGTACAAACAGTGTAGAAAATAAATTTGATATACATATTTCAATAAATAAATATACCCATAGCATACTAGAAATACTTGAAATTATGAGATTCCTTTAACTATATTTTAACATATTACCCTGACCCAAAATGAAATTATTTTTAAGTTAGAAATTAAACAAAACAAATTTATAATTAACAACCATTTAAACTATTCAGATACTATCAAAATAAATTTTCAGACTACCATCTAACAAAACTAATACTATAACAGTACTATTATTAAATAAAACTGATACCAAAGAATAAAGTAGGAAAGTATTAGCAATCATGCCCTGGCTGCATAGAGCATCGTCCCAATTTGACAAGGTTGTGGGTTCGATCCTCAGTCAGGGCACATACAAAAATGAACCAATAAATGGATAAATAAGTGGAACAACAAATCAATGTTTCTCTCTCTCTCTCGCTCCCTACCTCTTTCTCTAAAACCAATTAAAAACATTTAAAACAAGTATTACCAGTCATGTTTTACATATGTTTCCTAGACAATTCATTCATCCAAGTATTTATTCAGTAAATATTTATTACCTAATTCTGGACATAATTTTAGACTAGAGGAAGGCAATTCTCTAGAAATTAGCTAGAGACTTTTTACAATGTCTCAATAAACATCTTTCTAAAGAATATACGTGTAAAATAATATATATGAATGCATAACATTTACTGGCACTTACTCTGGGTCAGACTTTATTCTAAAAGCTACCTGAAAGATGATACTATTACTACTGTTCACAGCTTACAGATGAGGTAACCAAGGCACAGAGAAGTTAAGTAATGTAGCCAAGATCACACAGCTAATAAATAGCAGGGCTTAAATTCAAACCCAGACAGTCTATGTCTAGAAACCATACTCTTAAACTCTAAACAATTATACCATCCTACTCTGTGTATGTGCGTGTGATGAGTGAGCAGGTGTGCATACATGCATGCACGTGCTCACATGTACATGCATGGCTGAGTACAGACTAAATTAAAGACAGAATAACAGAGAGGACAGAGGATCGAAAATAGAGTAAGAGTTCAGAGGCAAAGCATCGGCAGACACACAGAGGACTTAGTAAACCAATGATCTACACTCTAAACCAATGTCATACATACGGAGAAATACAGATAGACTAGTACTTGTATTTTCTAATTTTAATACTTACCTGGAAAAACAGAAAAAGATGTAAATTATGTTTGTAGCTAACTCAACACTTTGCTTCCAGTCTTCTCTCAGGACTCTTGCTAGTGCACCAAGGGCAGTTTCTAAAGAAAAATGGGACATGCAAAAATAATCATTCACCTTGCCTCTGGTATAAAGAGTGATTGGTTTTAAATGTCTACTTATTAATAAATAACAAAGCTAAGATAGAACTGGGACAAAAAGTAGGATGCTTCTTTCCAACACAGAAAGCTATTTTTAAAACTGAAGTTCAACTTTTACTTGAAAACTCATAACATGCAGCTTTAAGTCTATTACTGTAAAAAGGAAAATAAAATATGATTTAGATAAAGTAGTATAAATATATTTTGGGTGACAATAAAATAATAAGACCATTTATTTCTTGAGTTGAATTTCCACTTATAATCTTGCTACAGCAGTACCAATTTTTTTCTTTTTTAACATCTGATTTAAGGTGTTTGTGAATAAGTAAAAAAGCTAGAACAACTCTAAAAACATAATGAGCAGTTTAGCAGGCTAACACTAGCTCCATTAAAGCAAATTAATAACCAAATAAAAGTTATACACAAAATAATAAGTCTAATATTTTAATATCATGTTAAATCGATGCCAACAGACATAAGTAAAACAAAAATCTTTCACAAAATTAGCTTCAGGGTAGATTAATAAACATCCATGCTAGATTTTTATCTTGAGAAAAGTGAAATTAATGAATTAACAAGAATTACCACATATTAAGTAAACATAAAGTAATGAGACTGTTTTCAAATTAGTGTTGTTACATGGCCTACCAATTCTTAAAATAATAAAAATTAAATAGAATATCTGTGTTATATATAATTCATAATTGAACTTTCTTTGGCACTCAGGATCTATTATACTTCATGAACTACATTATCAGTATTTATCATTGTAATGAAAGTGTTCAATTAATTTGAGCTTTCAGGCTATTCAGACTATGAAACAATAAGAATTCACTATGATATTAATCTCCTTTGTAAGAAAATTTTTTAACAAACTAAAAAAATCCTGTAATGGCATTTCGTGTTATTCATATTCACAATGCAGAGCACATATAATATATACTTGTCTCCAAAATCATTCTAGAATCAAGTAAATAGACAAAAAGCTCCAAAAAGTCCTACCTAACAAAGAATCTGGGCATTTCACCACTATAAACCAGAGGAAACAGGATTTCATAGAATATACTTTGGAATTAATGAACTATAGTATCATGACTTAGGCATAGGGTCAGTGACCTACTGTTCAATTTTTATTTCATTTTTATCCTTTAGTATAGAATAGAGAAATATCTCGATAAAATTGCAGCTACAGGAATTATACATGAGCTATCAAAAAATAGCCAAAAGAAAATTAGAGTTTATAGAAGGCATAATTAAAATTCCATTATGAATTTTTAGAGAATATAATAAAGGAAATGTACAAAATACACAAGAAAATCACAACTATGGTATCTCTGAAAAACAACACCCTAGCAGCAACTGGAGGAGGCAGAAGAGTTTGGTGCACCCCAAATCCCTACTCCAGAGAACTGGCACTCTCTAATCCATCTGGATGCTTGCTGAAAAGCTCTGTTCTCAGCGTTTTCTTTACTTGACCTGACTCAGAGCTTGCTCTGTGCAGTCCAGGGCATTTGTTGAAAACTACTCGTAGAGACGTGGCAGTTATGTGCAGCAGCCTTGCCAGTTGTAGTTAACAAGAGGCTGACCTAAATCTTTAACAGGAATAATTGGAAAAAGATATTCACAGGGTCTTTGAAAAACTCCAACATATTTCTGGGATTCTAGAAGGCCATGCACATGTGCAGGAATATGCAATTGCCAGAGAAAGACCAGAGAAGAACCTAATCTCTCATCTCTGGACAACCTTAAGGCAATGTACAAGCAGAAAGTGAAGATAAGGGTATAAACTACCTGCCTGTGCACTGAAGACATGCCACAACACACACACAGACACACAGACACACAGACACACACACACACACACACGGCCCCTCAGCAAAGGCTGGGGCATGCAGTGCCAGGCATTTAAGGAAATCTCTATCTAATCATTACAGAAATAATCCAGGAAACTCATTAAACAAATGAACAGCAAAAATAAGCCCTGGAAGGAGTAGGAATCAGATTTTCAGAGTTTCCACAACATTATTTCAAAACAACAATAAAAAATACAAGATATACAAACAAATAGGACAGTATATCTTTTAATCAGGAAATACAGCGGTCAATAGAAACTGTCCATGAGGAAGCTCAGATATTGAACTTATGAGACAGAGATTTAAAATCAGCTATTGTAAATATATTCAAAGAACTAAAAGAAAACATACTGAAAGAATTAAAGAAAAGTATGAGAAGGTTAGAGAATGTCTCACCAAACAAAGAATATCATAAAAAGATACACATTATTAAAAAATAAACCAGTGGAAATTCTGCAATTGCAAATTACAATATATGAAATAAAAAATTCATTAAAAATCATAACAGCAGATATGAACCAGAAAAAGAAAGAACAAATGTAAAGGCAGGTCAATTAAAATTATCTAGCTTTAGGAACAGAAAGAAAAAAGAATGAAAAATAAATAAACAGGGCCTCAAAGACCTGGGGGACTTCAGCAAGAATAAACAAAATGGGAGTTCCAAGAGGAGAGAAGAATGAAAAAGAGTACAATGAATAGTTAACAAATAATGGCTAAAAACTTCCCAAGTTTGCTGAAAAACATTAATCTGCACATCCAAGAAGTTCCACAAACTCCAAGCAAGATAAATTCAAAGATATCAACACCTAAACACATCATAGTCAAACTGGCAACAGCCAAAGGCAAATAATTTTCTTTCTAATTTTAATATTTATAACTATAAGTTACCATTTAATAGCAGTTCTTCTAAGTTATCAGGATTTCGAGCAAGTTGCAGGATCAAAGCAGAACCCCGAACCTTGTCAGGAATATCTTCATACAATAACTCAATGTATTCATCCATGTCATTAATGTTAGCAACTTCATCAATCTGAAACAAAGAGGGAGACAGTACTCCAAAAGAACAATAATGCTGAACAGAGCCACTGTCAAAGAAATGATATTTTGTGATCAATATATTGACTTTCATAGTAATACACAAGTTTTCAAAGGACTCATAGTAGGCATCTTTTTGTAGAGGGGGAAATTAGACCTTTGGGTGTTAGGACTCTAATACAAAAGTAATTATAAACCATATGATAAAATGGGATATATATAAACTCTAAAACTGGTCTATCAATTATAAAATATTTTAAATGTGATGCAAAGTAACTTGTATCACTACAATGAACAATATTTCAAAACATAAAAAATATTTAAAACACTTCACAATTTATTTTTCTATCAAAATTATCTAAAAAACATACCCAATAAATTTTGCCTTTATCAATTAAATACTGATTTTCTACCTTTTCAGGCACTTCTAAGTTCAGTCATTTTTTAAAAATTATACATCTGTTTAATGTGACTGTATGAATTATTGATGGTAAAAGGGAACACCTTACAATCAGATTTCTATTAGATCAGAATATAGTCTTACCTCCATTCCTTCAAAAGGAGGTGGATCTTTAGGCTTGCTTGACTTTTCTTTTTTTTCTGTAAAAAAAATATATATATTTTTTAATGAGAAGAACCAGGTTTTTAGCACTTCTGAGTAATTTTTATTTTCAGCAGCTTATTAACTCTAGCTAAGCTGGGGATCTTAAAACTGAAGTTAATGAAATAATCTTTTTTTCCTATGTATAAAATAATGCTCACCTATAATCCATCTGTTCTACTGAGAATACACTAAGGAGGGTATAAATAAATAAAAACAAATATTCCCCAACTTATGTCAGGCAACACTTTTAACTTCCTCCCTGGTTGATTTTTTGGGTAGATAGCTAAACTGGCCAACAAGAAGCAAAAGTCTTTTCTCTCGTTCCCCCGCCTAATTCACATTTAAGTGGGAATATAAAAATCAGTAAGGCAAAGAAAAAGTGAGTTGAGTAATATTAAAACTAAAATAAAATTAACAAACAAAAAGAAAAAGAAATAACTTGGGTAAAGTTAAAAGCTAAAATAAAGAGTAGTTGCTGATTCTTTTAAACAAGTAAAATTGGGATCATAAATTAAAAGGCAAATATTTAATATTTGTGTTAATCCTCACTTGTTTCCAAATAAATTCAAGAGTATCCAAAGGTGTTGAACACAATTTTGAGCCATTTGTATACTCAATTATTTTATTTATGGCAGAATTTCATTTTTTAACAAAAAATTATCAAAACTACTTCACTGATCTGGGTTAACCCAAGCAATGCATATACATTAAAATAAGTTCAAATAGTACCAAATTTTGATTCTGTAATTAGCAAATATGTTTTATATATAATAGAAATTAGCCTTGATGGTTTTCAGAGAATAGTGGCCATTATAGATAAGATTATGCTTCTCAAGAGCTAGATTTTGCCTCAAATAAGTAATTATGACAGTGGTTTTAATTAAGCAAAGAAAAAATTGCTTAAGGTAAAGAATCATATAATCAAATACATATTATTATTTTGTTTCACTCACTTCTAGAGCAATATTTCTGACTTTGAAGTAGTGAATACTAAGTAAAAAGTTAAGAAAAGTAGTTTTTAAAAATAACTATAGCCCAGCCAGACATGGCTCAGTGGTTGAGCAATGACTTAGGACCCAGGAGATCGAGGTTCGAATCCCGGTCAGGGCACATGCCCAGGTTGCAGGCTCGATTCCCGGTGGTCAGGGGAGTGCAGGAGGCAGCTGATCAATGATGAGACTCTTATCATTGATGTTTCTCTCTCTCCCTCTCTCCCTTCCTCTCTCTGAAATCAATAAAAATATATTTTTAAAAAAGTATATATTTAATATAGTATAGCATTTCATATGTCTTCAAATATTAATACCTATACAGAGAAATATATTAATTTGACCTAACTTATCCATATATGATGATACGAAAATTTTCCTCATATTCCCCTAATTTCCGAGGAAGGAGATGAGAAGACTGATTTACTCTGAAAACTCAGTGAAAAGCTATTCTTTAGTTTAAAGATATTTTATTATAAATGCCACTGGAATTATATTAATTTGGCATTAGTAAAGATCAATTTTAACTATTTTGTACCACCCACAATAAGTACACACACATCTTTAAAAAGTACAGGATTTACTTTGCTCACTTTGAAGTTATTTAAATTATTGAAAATGTTATCTCTCATCATTTATAGACATCTTAGCAAGAATACACTAACATAAAATATTTAATAAAAATTCTTCTTGCCCTGGCCAGGTGGTACAAGTTGGTTGGATCACTATCCCGTACACCAAAAAGTTTTCAGGGTCAATCCCCAGTCAGGCGCATACAGGAGAAAACCAATCAGATCTTTCTCTTTCTCTTTCTCTCTCTCTCTCTCTCTCTCCCCCCTCCCGCCCCCCTTCCTCTCTCTCTAAAGATCAATGAAAACATATCCTTGGGTGAGGATTTAAAAAAAATAAAACTCTGCTTGATATTTCCCTTATAGCACTTACTAATAATTAACAAGTATACACTGAGTGCCAGTTATGTAGTTGAAAGCAATTAAGTTCAAAATGCTTAATTTTGCTTTTAAATAAGTTCACAGCCATCCAATTCACTCAACAAAAACCTATTGATCATGTGAGTTAAAAACTGTATTTAGGGCTAACTAATAAAAGTGTATGTTAGGCACAAGGCATTTTATTTGCTGTGGATAGAGAGAGAAAACTAACTTGAAAAAAGTTTAAACAAATTTTCGATTCCATTTTTTTACTTAGTACAATCAAAACTTAATCCTTTATAAGTTATTTCAAAGGCACCATATTTTGGAACTCACCCATGGTGAAAAAAGACATGTAAAAGTAATACTATGCAATGGAATAACCAACCATTCAATAATCTGAGATGATTTTGCATTAAAATGTCTGCATTTTTATTTTGTTTCATTTTTGGCTTAGATTATTTGAAAATGTCGTCTATAAATAATCAATCACTTGGCTCTAATATTTTATTTTATTTATTTAAAAAAAATTCTTTTTTTAACCTTCACCGGAGGATATTTTTTCCATTGCTTTTCAGAGAGAGTGAAAGGGAGGAAGGGAGGGAGAGAGAGAGAAAGAGAAAGGGAGAGAAACATCGATGTGAGAGAGGCACATCAACTGGTTGCCTCCTGCATGCATCCCAACTTGGGCTGGGGATTGAGCCTGCAACTGAGGTCAGTGCCCTTGATGGGAACTGAACTGGAGACCCTTCAGTCTGTGGGCTGATGCTCTAATCACTGAACAAAACCAACCAGGCTTAGCTCTAATATTATAATGGCTTAATTCTTGTATGAGGGAATTGAAGATAGAAGAATGATAGCAACAGAGACATTGAGGAATGAAAAGGTGATATTTTCCTAAGAAAGATTTAGAAAACATATCTTTAGGATAGTCTAAAGCATATGACATATATTTTAACATTTAAATACTAAGTCATCCATTCAAATAATAAACTAAAGGTCAATAAGAAATTGAGAAAACATAAATCTAGTTGGAGTAGAGAAAGTAGGTTTTCTGCCACAAATTCTCTCCTTTTGTTATTCCAGAATCAGTATGACAGATATTTGCTTTTTTATTCCTTATTTCAGCATATGTGCACCCAAGCCCCCGCACGCACACACACACACAATATGAAATAGAAACATCATTTTGTGTGGAACCATCTAATATAAAGCTCAACGTGTAGAAAACGAGTATGCTTGTCTATTCTTTCATTTACTTACTCACAGAACTAGCAAAAACAAAACACACACACACAAAGATTTATCTGAAGTGCAAACTACAGTCAAACAAGTCTGGTTTTGAATTAAAAAGTCAGAACTCACCCTTTCCTGACAAGGAATCGCGACGGTTCTGGAGATAGTAGAGCAGCTGCTCTACCTCATTCAGTTTTGAGGGATGAATGAGTTTACATTCTTCAACCACCTTCCGTGCCAGCGAAGTTATATCTGTGTTGGCATTGAGACTCTTAAGACGAATGCTGCAAGCACATCAGAATATTCTAACTCGGGTATTATTAGAGTAAGCGGTAAACAATGTTTCATTAAATAAATAATTTATAAAGCATTTAAATGTACATTACATAGACTCTTTTAGTAAAACATAATAAAGTGTTAGATATAATTAGTCTTAGAACAATGCAAAGCAAAGATTTTCTTTGAGCTGGACAAATGTGGTAACAAAAGGAACAGAAAACCTACATCAGCCTCTTCCAGGAAGAATGGCATTTTGGAAGACCTCATTTTAAAGCAGTCTTTCTGATGTAATGCATATAAAGTCTTTAGTCTTTGGATGTGAGAATTCATGTTGCCAAAAGTGAATCACTTTCTGATCACAGTCATGAAATCATTTATGTTTTTCAGTTAGGCACAAGATATAATATTGATCATTTCGGATTCAGCTATTCTTGTGGAAATTATGTAGAAGGAAGAAGAAAAGAAGCAGGATACATTTTAAAGCCTATATGAGGAATTCTGAGGAACATTTTATACTTGTTAGTACATTAAAAAAATAATAAACCAGCTTCTTCTTCCTTTTTAATTTAGTCCAGGAGATTCATTGGAAGATAAATTAAAAAAAGGTTGTTCAGAGTCTGGAAACAATTGCCCGTTCACATGAATTTATAGCACCACGGAGAGCTATGAAAACATAAATTTAGGTTCAGGGTGAAGACTCAAGCAGATATGTTCATGCAAGGCTCAGATTCAAAGAGAGAAACATAAGAAAGTAGCCATTGTATAGTATTATTTCTTGGTAAAGATGGCCAATATTTGGAGAGATATCAAGGTGTTAAGAGGCAGCAAGGACACAGATGTTAGAAAAAGGTCCTGTACTAAGCATCTGTGAAATCATCATTCAGATGTAGGTGTTCTCTCCAGAAACAAGTTGAGTAGGGTGAGTTAGAAATTATTCACAACTATATAGTCATCCTTAAGCCTGGTCCTCTTGGGATTCTACAAACTACCTGATAGCCTTTAATAAATTCCTTTTATGTTTAAATTTGCTACAATGGCTTCTAATGTTTGCAACAAGAACCCTAGCAATACTCTGTCCCTTTATTTGAATTTTTTTGGTTGTTTACATTTCTACCTTGTCTTTTAAAGTCTTGATTATATTTCTGTATAATTTTACTGCACATCTGAAGACAGAGGTAGAAAGGAGAGTCCATTCAGAGAAAAACTCTCCAAAGAACTTTCCATGTTTAATTTTATCTAGGACCATGGAAATCTTGACGGATTCTATAAAATCTGATTAAGAAGAGGCACAATAGAAACACTTTAAACATATATTTTTAAAATTTCTTACTAGTTTTTTTCAGAACAGTTTTAGGTTTACAGAAAAATTGTGCATAAAGTATAGAGTTCCCATATATACGTCCACTAACCCCCCAATACAGTTTTTTTGTTATTACCACCTTTGTTACAACTGATTAACCAATATTGATACATTATCAATTTATGTCCACAGTTTGCATTAGGATTTACTGTGTTGGATAGTTCTGTGGGCTTTGACAAATGCATAATGTCATGTGTCCACCATTATAGTGCTATACAGCATAGTTTTACTGCCCTATACATGTTCTGTGCTCCACCTATTCTCTCCTCCCCCAACCCCTGAGCCCCAGACAACCTCAATTTTTTTACTTTAGTTTTTCCTTTTCTAGAATGTTATGTAGTTGGAATCATATAGAATGTAGCTTTTCCAGTCTGGCTTCTTTTACTTAGTAATATGCCTTTAGGTCTCCCCATGTCTTTTCATAACTTGCTAGTCAGTCTCTTTTTAGTGCTGAATAATACTTGATTGTATGGACGAACCACTGTTTGCTTATCTGTTTGCCAACTGAAGGACATGTTGGTTGCTTTCAACTGTTGACAATTATAAATAAAGCTGTTATACACATTCATGTGCAGGCTTTTTTGTGGGCATAAATTTCCAATTCATTTGGGTTAATATTTAGGAACACAATTGCTGGATCATATGCTAAGTTTATGTTTAGCTTTGGAAGAAACTGCCAAACTGTCTTCCAGAGTGGCTGTACCATTTTATACTTCTACCAGATTTTTCTATTTCTTTTTAGATCTATTTTCTACCAACATATATATTAGCAATCTGATTCATTTTATTTTCATTAACAGTAATAGACAGATTTTCCTCTTTTAGTGTTTCAGAAAATGTTACCTGGATGTTTACTGTATTATTCCTATAATAAAAAAACTAGAATCTTCATTAGGCAGCCCATATCTATTAAGAACACCAAAAATTCACAAGAAAAATACTCATTATTTTTAGACTATAACCATCAGTTTCTCATAAAGAAATCTGCAGAAACTGGGACTCTGTTGAAGATGGGCTTATATACTCCTTTGCCCAATAAAGAAGACTAAAATACAAGTCTTCTTGACCTGGGCCATAGCACTGATTAGCACCTAATTTTTTTTTTTTAGGCTTTTTAAAAAAAATTTATCTTTATTGTTGAAAGTATTACAGATGTCCC